CTAGAGGCGGTCCTCGTGTGGACACAGGTTTCGTGTGCATTTCAAAAGGCCCCAGCCGTTGCTGGGACATCATCTGGTCATTCATTTGCTTGTTCAGCCAATTGATAACTACAATGTTACACAAAGCAAACAATCATTTTGACACTCTAAAAACGACACTACATGTATCTTGGCATACAAATAGTACCAGGTCAACAGGGCAGTGATGGATGGGCACCCTGTGTTCCTCCTGCAAAGGTATCCCCATATGCAAAAAATGAAATAATTTAAGAGACTGGTAGAAACTGGTCTTAACGTTTTCACTCCCAGATCTCAAGAGTTATTCTCCTTACTGTCTGCCATACAGTTCTCATGATGTTAGTTTGGAGAATTCAGTATTGAATCAACTTATAATTACCTAATTGACATTATCTCTTTATTCTTAATACTTGTCTTCTTGACATTGTATTGATACTGTAAGGAGAAATTCTGTCTTGGTCACTCTTTGGAGTAAAAGAGTTAAGAGAGTTGAGAGAAAGTAAATGTGTAATTGTGGTTGGGATGCAAAAATGCTGGGTCAAGACTCCTTGTCCTTCACTCAGCCCAATCTCTCCTTACCCAAAGCCAACTCAATAACTGGAAAATAAGATAAGGCAGGATCAAAGGCATTCATAAAATGACTTCAATCTCAGCCAAAGAGTTCTTGTTTCTTCATTTTGTTGTCAAATTTTAAGATCTTCTAAGGCATCCTCACCATTTTCATTAGTCTTCAGCAGTTGTTTACTTTCTTCAAGCTTGGCTGTGGTTGTCTCCAATGACTCACTCAGCTTCTTTAGCTATACATTCAAGGAAAGAACAACACCTTCATAATTATCACTGAAATCTCGAGCCATGACACTTTGATGAAGGTGATTTAATTATAACATTAAAGGAAACAAAAGATTCTAAAGCTTTCAGTAAAACAGTATTAGAGCAAAATCAGGGTGTGATAGAATAAAAACACAAAATATATCGGGGGTGGGGAGGATGTTTCCCAAAAAACTTAACTCTGTTGATAAAGGGCCTAGCATTGGCTAAGTTCCAATCACTTCTAAGCTTACCTCTTCCTCTTTATTCTTCAAGGCGGTTTCCAAGCTGGATTTTTCCTGTCTGTGTTTTTCAAAAGCTGTTTCCTAAATAGACAAGATCAAATTGTCAAAAAGTCAAATGTTGAAGTCTCACAAGGCCATGTGACAAAGAGGCTGCCAGGGTTAAGTTAACCCTTTACACCCTAACATCAGTATTCATATTCTCCATACGGTCTCTATACATTTCCTGAAGTGCTGACAAGGTGAATTTGTTTAAAGATCAAGAGCTTTAAAAGTTGGTGATCATTTCCTTGATTCTCATGACCTTAATGTTTGATTCAGGGGTGATATTGTGAGGAGAAATTAGAAGCTGGTCAATCTTAAGGGTTAAAGGGTTAAGGACCTAATGGTACTTTCAAATTAGTGCAGGAGATGCAAACCAGGTGGGACTTAACCAGTGCTAAAAAAGCAGTGAAATGAAATGAAATGATGTGAAATAAAATTAGATAATACAAAATGAAATGACAAGACATTGAATATTGTGAAACGAAGGAAATGAAATGATTTAAGTAAAATGATATAAAACAAAATGCTTTGTTAGTGCAATGTTGAAGTCATGAAATGATATGAAATGAAATAATGTGAAATGAAATGAATGATACAATATGAAATGAAATAATAGGATTTGAAATGAAACAGTTGTACAGTCCAAACCCTATGGACCATGTACAGTAATGACCTCAAAAGGTTACACACTCATGAATAAAGGGGGTAAATTTCTAAAGAAACTGTGGTGCTGCATCAGGGGGAGAGTATAACAAGGTAATCTAGTACTATCAACTGAACTGATAACATAAAGAGTTTCAAAACTGACATTTTGAGAGTTAGCCCTACATCAGGATGAAGGGCTGACACCTGAGACATCAGCTTTGAAACTCTTTATGGTGGCCAATTTACATTGTTAACTCAGCTAATACTAAATTACTCAGGTTACACACTATTGAGCTATTACCTTTTCTTCAAGGAGCTTTTCTTGTTTAGTCATCACCACACTCTTCAGCTTCATCTAAAACAGAAAAATTACAGAGTATGGCAAAATAATTTTCCTTCTATTATTTGACGCATTGCATCTACCCACTGCACTGTTCAATTAATCCATAAAGAGACAAGGAGAAGGAGAGAGCTAGGATAGTTTAATATCAGATAAATCTTAAAGATTTGGCCTTCTCTATGAGGAAGGAACTCTGGTTCTGTAAATTAAGCCACTACAAAAAGCTTAAAACTGAAGAAAAGAGGCATCAGCATAAACTTCGTACATGTACCTTAGACTTGTAGGTCCGTAATTCTGATTGTAACCTTTGTATTATCTCATTTCCCTGAAAGTAAGTCAATAAAACCATTTAGAAACAAGGCAATACAAAATATTTGTGACTTCATGTACAAATAGCAATGGATGATATGAATATCTAGAAGCTAGCCAAGTCTGTTACCCCATGAAAATTAGGAAAAACAACTCGCTATGACCACCTGAGTCTCTCTAGCAAGAGGTAGAAATGGTCACTGACAAAATGCCAAGGAAATCTAATGAAATACTAGGCTGGCAGGAGGAATTTTAAAGCTCCTTGTTACATATTTTTAAAGCAACCATACTGACAGATCATGGCCATATGACCCATTAGTGCAGAATTTTCATAACAGTAATCATGGCATTTAGAAAGTAATGTGCTTTCTTGAATAAAAATCAGGACCATCCATGACCCAATAACTGTACCTTGATCACATCGGCTGTTACTGATGTCATATTGGCTTCCATTTTATTGATCTGCTCCTGTTTTTCTTCCAATATCTTCTCTTGCTTTCTACGTTGTTCATTGGAATTCTCCAACAGTTCATTGGTTCGTGCTATGACCTGGAACATAATTAATTAAACAACAGCAATGTACTGCAGTTGGCAAAGTGGAGGAAAGAATGTTATTAAATTATTTCAATTGAAAATTCCTTTACTCCTCAAAACTTTTGCCATCCACCACACTTCTTCCTTGCTAGCTTAGCAGAAGTAATCAATTTGTAAACATTGCAATAACCACAAACTGTCTCTCAAACATACATAGACTAAAACTGTGAAGTTCTACAAATTGAGTTATACTCTTTGAATTCCTCTCTATGCATCCTTTCCAATTCCTAATTTTTTTTTTTTTTAATTGACAAGGTCAAATGATCCATTCAAGTACACGTGTCTGGGGTTAAAATCTTGACCTACACTATAGCTACCTGTTCCTTGTCCCTTAATTCCTGTTCCAACACAGCCACTCTAGTCTGCAGTTGGCTGAGTGTTTTACTGTGTTCATGTCTTTCTGAATCCAGTGAGCCATTTTCACGGCGAAGTTTATGAAGTTCTTGCTTGGTAAATTTGCATTCCTGGAAACAGACATTCAAACAGTAATACATGAACACTGTACTATAAACCCCATCAACATTTTAAACCGTAATCTTAAGAGAGACATTCATTTGATTTCTTCTATCAGAGTCACCTCTGAACCAAACATTAAGGTCACAATAATAATAAAAGGAAATGATTGCTAACAACAGAAGTACTTGATTGTCAGACAAATTCTAAATTCTTCTAATACTATACCACAAGAAAAGTGTCAAGGAAAGTGTGGAGAATATACATACTGATGTCAGGGTGTAAAGGTTATTGCTCAAAGTAAGACATTGTTGACATCACAATGAACCTTACATTACCTCATCCAGTGTTGCTAGTTTGGACTTGAGGTCTCTGATGCAAGAATCCGCTTGGTACTTTTTCTGATTCAGGTCCTGTGAAAAATTTGTAAAGAACAGTCTATATCTATGTGTACATGGTAGTGCACCATCTCTGCAACTTTTGTTTAGTGATTGCCCCATCGACTGGAATCATTTTCAGGTGGCTGCATCTAAACTTTAATGGCTGATAATTTGATTTAAGTTTAGCCATTGTTTAACAAAACGATATCCTGAATAATACTAAATTTAGCTGACCCTTCTATCTGAACATATATTTTTTTATACAGTGCCAAGAAGGCTGTCAGAAAGCTAACAATGTAAGGACATTTATTTAATAAATCAACCCTTTTATAGAGAGAGCCTAGGCTCACTGATTGCCTAAAACTGTGGTCTGGATTAGACCTCATGTAAATAACCAGCCCTAAATGGTTGACTTTTCAGCAATTTTTGAATGAGTAAAACTAGTCAACCCTTTCACTACCAAGATCTCATTAACAATTCTCCTTGCTGTCTTGAATACAATTCTTATAATGTTAGTCTGCAGAATTTGTTATTGGATAAACTAATAATCCCCTGAGCAATTTTTTCCCAAACCTCATCACTTGTCTGCTAATATTGCATAGATATTGTGAGGAGAAATTCTGTCTTGGTCACTCATGGGAATTAAAAAAAAGTATATATTAAATCTTAAAATTCATTTGGGAAGTAATTACTTTGTTGGAGTTTTCAACATCCTTGAGCCTGACCTCTAATCTCACTGTCTATAACAAGGAAAACAATGAGAAAGCATGTCATTATACCAAAGTAAAAAGATGATTTTAAGTCAGTGAGAGAAGCACCCTAAAAAAAAGTTGAAGCTCTTCCATGAAGAGCTGAACATTAATTTAGTTATATGAGTGCCTTTCATTTATCACATGTAAATCTAGCCATGATAATAATGTGAAAATAACATTGAACGTAATTACACTGTATCATCCGTCAAAAAATGTTACTGATCACTTTGCCAACAAACCAATTTGCCAACACCTCTGGTCAACTTGTTGCAAACTTGTCACAAACTCGCAGACACTAACTTTTGTTATTTAATTTGTTACCAAAGACCAAAGACCAAAGACAACTGTCAAAGTTGATCTAAGGTGTTGGCAAAATGACTAATGACGTCACTGAGTTGGTTGTCAGTGAGATGACATTTCATCGAGGTGATGGGGTTAGGCGTCAAAACTATAAAAATTGCATGTGCATGCATATGGTAAGGACATAACTTGATGTTAATTCCTGAAGTACAAGCAAACAGCAAATATGCTCACCTGTGCTTGGTGATTCTGGTCCAGTTCTCTCTTTTCTCTCTCAAAACTCTGTTGTTTTTCAGTGGCCAACTAAATTAAACAGACAGCAAATCTACGTAAAGTAGCACTACATGTAGGTGTTGACATCATTTAAAAAAGAACAAAACATCATTTGGGTTTTGTATAGACTTAAAAGAACAGCGAAAATACTTTTGAGAAAAATTAATGATTTAACAAATGGTGCAATAATTTGGTTCTGAGAGAATTCTTCTACCTGAAGTGCTTTTTCCCTTTCTGCTGCCAGTTCCTGTGCATGCTTGTTTTCCAACTGAGATGACCTGGTAGAGCACTCTGATTGAACTGAGCTCAACTCTCTTGTTTTGATTGCTAACACCTGCAACATACAAATAAATAATATTGGATCATGTGTGCTACATGAGTAGTGTCTGTCAGTGTATGGGACAAATACAACAAATGTATCGATAAATCAACCTACACTGTATACAGTGTAGTCAAACAAGAGCCAAGAGCTGATCAAGGGTCAGTTAGTAATCAGCTGATAGTGATCCAATAATTGGCCAATGGTCTTCCAATATTTGCCCTACAGTTAGCCAAGGTTGTGCCCATGAACACTGGGACATGGGTATGGAGATCCTGGCCAACTGTCAGTCAGGATTTTAACAGTAACGGTATCATATAATCTGCACAGCTTCAGTTATAAGACAAAGAAAAATAAAACTACAACAAGGTTGAAGTCTACATTTATGGCTACATAACAAAACAGTATTACCAGTAACTAAATTACATGAGTACCTCTTGGCAGGTGCTAAGTTTTTGTTGAAGATCAGCCTCTGTACTGGCAAGACGCCTTTCTAAGATTTGTTTCTCATCCTACAAAGGAAAAAAAAATCAACATACTCATACACTATATGCAAAATAACTATTACAAAATTTAAAAAAGCAAGAAATGATGAACAACTTTTACGATTTTAGTTTATTTCAATTTATTTTATTTTAAAGCCTCAGATTTTGTTACCAGTTGATCATCAATACTGATTTTCTTTTTTTTGGCAGGAATCTTCCCCATTTATTCATCACCAGTTCTAACTCTCTACAACAAACACTGTGTGAATAGAGGGAAGTGACTGTGAAGAGGAGGTTGTTGTCAAGAAGGAGACAGTGAAGTACACCACCTGTTTTTATCATGTAGAATATTTTAATTGTTGAGGAAAACTTCCTGTAGTACATGTATATAAAAACCTAACACACTTGAATAAATGCAATGTCCAAAAATCCTTTATCTGCAAGTAAAAACAGTCTCTTAAAAAAAAAAATAACTCTTACGTTGCAAAAATATCAGCATTTTTGCAAGCTAACAAAAGTATTAAAAAGCCTCACCTGCAGATTTTTAAGACAGTTTGCCAGATATTTCTTGACTTCAGAATCAGATCCAGGAAGGAATTTCAATGATAGGTGAGTCAGATGTTTAAATGGGTTGGTCTCTACCACATGAAGAGTGGCCACACCTTGATCTAAACCACTGCCAACAACAAACTGAAGCAGAAATCTGTATGCAAAACACAAGTGTAAACAAAGATTGAATACTTTGAAGCAATAACCATTCAGGTATCAAGTAAACTGAGAAAAGTTCAAGTCTAAAAATTCAACCCTGTCACTCCCAGGAGGGACCAAGACAGAATTTCTCCCTTCAATATCAATATAATATCAAGTAGAAAAGTGATGAGAATAAAGAAAAATATTAATTAGGCAATAATCAGTTGATCCAATACCAAATTCTCCAAACTTGATACAAATTGTATAGCAGACAGTAAGGAGAATTACTGTTAAGATCTTTGGACTGAAAGGGTTAGGTCATTTTTATAAAGTATGATCATCAGAGCAGAGGCAATATTAATGTTGAATGGATAAATGCTAAAATATCTTTCTTTCTTGCAATTCAATTACCTATGAATAGTGGAGGGAACTAAAAACATATTTTGGAAGGACAGAAATCAAACTTCAGTGATGTTCAACAAGGGAATTAATTTTGTTATTATCAACTGAGTTGAGAACATAAATAAGCTGAAATTAAAAGTTTCAAAGCTGACATTTCAAGTGCTAGACATACATCAGAGCTTCATCATTATTGCTCTGATGAGGGCTAATGCTCAAAATATCAGCTTTGAAACTCTTAATGGTGACCGATGTACAAATGTATAGAACCAACTCAGTTGATGATACCAAATTACCTTGATATACTCTCCCACTGACACAGCACCACAACTTCTTTAGAAACTTACCCCTTTTATTCAGTAATGTTCAACTTACTTTGGACTATCTCGTTGTTCTTCTTCTCGACAAAGTTCCAACAGGTCAATAAACTTTTGAGGAAAGGCACAAAAATCAACCAGCAAACCTTGTTGACTTTTTAACCTGCATGGGTGAAATGTAATACCAGCTATCCTTAATCATTGAAAGTAATCATTCAATGTTGATTGCTACAGATTTCACAACAACTCCTGCTAATATTAATAACAAGATCAGACATATGGGTTCTGATTGGTTACTACATGTAAAATCAAACACAAATCAAATCGTTTTGATTGATTTGGATATTGAAACTATCAATGGCATAGTGAGTCCACATGCCTATATGTTTTTATATAATAAGGTGAATCATTCACACATTCTGATTGGCTCTTACTTATGATCTACATGTTTTTATAATATTATGATAAGCTGAATCATACACACATCTTGATTGGCTCTTACTTATGATTTATTAAAAACAAGCTAACAGATGATGTCACCATTGACAACATTTGCTTTGTTATCATAGGAAAAAACTAGATTTTAGGATACTGTCGGTCTGTACAGTTGAACATCACAGAACACGTCAAAATGCGGTAAGACTATTAGTGACATACTTCGCTGTGCCTCGTTTGCCAATTTTTTTTTCGTACCATATTATTTTGACTTCATCTATGATCTATTACTGAACAGATGTACAGTAAAATGGAATTTATTTGTTAAGCTGTACTACATAATGTGTATACACATGTATATCATTTCTTCTCTTTACAAAAGATTAAATCCCTTATTAATCGTAATGCAATGCATTCCCTAAATATTTTAAAAGTCAAAACCTAAAATGCGACGCAAAAACGCAAGATACATGCTAGACTTACGTGTGGAAATCAGTTTCGCCTAAAACAAGATTGTAGAGAAAGCACAAGTCTTCTTCATCCGTGATTCGGACAACAAGTTCCTTGAAAGAGAGAGAAAGCAACTTCGCATGTAGACATGTACGCAAAAAGGCAAGTTGTCCCCCAAATGAAATCATCGAAATCATTTACATGTATTTAAAACAGAAGAAGCGCAAACTATTCAATGTAAAGCTTGCGCTGATAGATGATCTTCTGATAGTCCTTCTAACATGGAATATGTACCTAAGATTGTAGACAAAACTAGACTTACTTTGTTCGTTGGCGAAGAGATCGAGCGAAAAGATACATTGATGCGTACGACAGACTTTCTGCAAGAAATATCGTAGCCCATAGGAGTCAAAACGTTGTCTTTAATTAAAACCTCTGAATATGTTTTGTTCATAATCGTACCTGTTTTCTCGGCTTGAAGACTTCAAGTGAACTGACACAACTTTGTTAAAACATTCCTCCATCTTGAAAAATAAAATTCGCGCCTGTTCCCAGACCCCAGTAGGTTTCAAGCACGCTTAGACTCAGGGGTAATCATCTTACATGTCACGCATAGCGTGACGACGAAAACCACAAGACAGATGTCACAATATGCCACAGGAAAAAGCTCATTATGAGAAGCTCAGAAGCGACTGTTATGAGGGTCCATTGTTTTTAACAGTCAGTAACTTTAATTTGAAGGAGTCACACTGACAAATATCCTCACGATATTGCCCAAGTGTTTCACGCAAAATAGATTATCCGCTAGACCGTTCATACTGGGAATGCTAGAAAAGGCCCTTTTCAGATTGTTACTCGATCATTAAGTTTGGATTTCGCACATATAGGGAATATTTTGTAGGTTGTAGAAGTTACATGATATCTTGAAACTCGATCCAACTTTTAGTTAAAAACCCACATGTTTAAGAATATAAAACTTATTGACTACAGCATCATATGATATTTACTTTTAAAAGAGATGAGATCTGAAATTAGTTTTCGAGATGAACAGATATTTGACTCAAATAGATGCGACTATATCGGACGTTTCGCAATCTCACATCATTGAAATCTTATCTATTCGACTACCATTGTCTTTACTGCATTAATATGTTTGTGGACGACCTCATTATTTGCGTAAACGTAAACAGTTTAAACAAAATCTTAGCCTCTCTATCAAGAATCTATACAGACCTAAAATCGAGCATTTTCTCATTTATTAACGCTAATATATACTCTAAAAACGAATCTTGTCGAATACTCAGCGATCACTATTTACGCTCAACAGCTAATTTATGCTCGACCCACAATTTCTCTATTTTCTCTGACGAAGGGCTGACGCTCGAAACGTCAGCTCAGAAACTCGATCTTTACGGTAGCCAATTTAGGTTATCAACTCAGTGGAATAATCTAAATTAACCCGCTAATTGTGTCTCAGCTTTTAAACAAAAACCATGTCAGGCGTCTCTATCTGTCAATCTCATTTACGCGAGGACGGTCTCATACGAACACGGCTGAGCTCTGGATGACGATCAAGGAATTCATTGATCTCCCTTTTGTTCGATAGCTGATCTATTGGCTGGTTTAGTCGTTCGTTCATGTCAAGTCCTTTCCTCATAATTTCTTTCGCTTCTTCTACGTTTCCAATGCATTCATATAGAAGAGCCAACTGACTTTCAATCATAACTTTCCATTTGTGATCCTCCTCTAGTTCGGTCTCAGCGATTCCTTTTGCTTTCGTAAGGATATTGATGGCCTCTTCATAGTTTCCTTTCCTTTGATGACAGAGTGCGAACTTTTTTAAGGTCAAAATACTCTCCTTGTGATCACCCACACCAAGATTCTCCATCATAGTCAGTGCAGCTCCATAATGTTCGAAACATTGGTCTAATCCAGCGGGATTTTCGTCAGGGAAATAACATCTGAAATAGAGGTCTGCAATGTATTTATGACATTGAGCAGTCATAAAATGATTCCCGAGGCAATCTTGGAAAAGATCCATTGCTTCCTGAAGTAGCTCTATTTTTTTCTGATGCCAACCATAGAATAGCAAGGTCGCTGCAGTTTCTGGATGTTTATCTAACTTTTTCTGGCACAAATTCATGGCTATTCCGTAAACATCACTAATTAGTTGCGAAGTCCATTCACGAGGTAAGTGCTGAGGCTTTGTACTAAGGAACCGTGCGTAACTGTTCAAGAAAAGGACTTGTGATAAACCGGCATATTCTTTAAAAGCTGTGCAAGTTCTGATAAAAACTTCCTTAGCTCGTTCCATAAGATTTTGATATTGTTCTTGACAGCCGATTTTCCTCTTTTCGTGCCCAAGTAGACATAAAAGTTCAACAATGTGTAGTGGGACAAATTCGGTTTCAAAGTACTTCAAAAGTTTTTCGAGGAAGGCAACGTAAAAACTTGGTAAAAGACACATTTCTAAATACATACACTTTTGTGGAAAATTTTCGAGAAACTTGTCCGAAGGTACTTGAGGGGAATCTGAAATTGTATCAAGTTTATCGATTATGTCAACGTAAACTTCCAAAAAATGCTCGAAGTTGTGTCTGTCTTCATTGAAGTTTAGAATAGATTCTTTGCATTTGTCTTTGCTCCAGTATAAGTTTGCATTTTCAGCGAGACGACAGATAAAGTAGGTACATGCCAGTTGTTCTACATGGAGAATTGTTTCGGAAAAGCTTGCTTGACCAACTCTCTTTGAAAAGGCTTGGATGAGCTGATGAATTTGGTATCGATTTGAACTTGGTTGTTCTAAAAGAGACCGGTTTCTTAGTGAGCGGAGAATTACAATTGGATCAGCATCAGTGTCCATTCCTGTCGTAATTACAGCCTCAGCAGCATCGAAATCAAAAGAACCTGGAAACACAGACATGACTGCCAGCGCCTTTTGTTCCGTTGGGGTCAGGAGATCAAATGAAGTCTTGATGGCGTTTTCGACGGAAATTTCATCGTCTTGAAGAACATCTAAAGGTTTTTTTTCAAGACTTTTAATCAATCTCACCTCTTTGAATTCTGAGAGCAACGAGCCAACGATACAAAGCGCCAAAGGGATGTGGCCACACAATTCAACAATTTTCGTCGTTTGGGAAAGCTTTTGTTTCACATGGTCAGTCCGAGAAAGAAGGACCTTTTCTGCCTCATCTAAAGACAAACTGGTTAATCTGATATTTTCTATCTTGAAACCACAACTAGACGTATTTACTGTCTTTCTAGAAGTAATAATAAAGGTTAGACTTTGCCTTGAGTAGGTCCTCAAATCTTGCAACATGTTAACAAACTCTTGTCGATCTCCAGACTCGAGAACGTGATCTGCATTGTCTAGAATCAATGTTACTTTCTCATATTGCTGTTTGCTCCAATTAAGAAGCCAAAGTTTAGGATTTTCAGGCGGCTGAGAGTGGCTGTTACTACAGATAAGGAACATTGTGGTTGCTATGTCCTTGAGGGATGCTTGGGATAGAAGTGAGCAGTATAAAACCTTCCTGTTGTATTCTGCCTTGGTAAGCTCATGGGCCACTTTGTTGGCCACAGTGGTCTTCCCGAAGCCCGGTCCACCTGTTAAAGACACAATAGAAACTGTTCCACTTTGAATAGCCTCTATGGCTCGTTTGATTTCTTCTGAACGACCAAACACATGGTGAATCTCATCTGGAAGACAATTGAGAAGCTCTCGAGTAACGCGTGGCGCGGAAATATGTTGTTGATTGCTTGAAATATCCAATTTTAACTGTTTAAGGTCTTGCTCTAAGTTCGTCATTCTTGGTTCAAATTCAAGCTTCCATTTCCTCACTTCTTCATCGATTCGTCGCTGTGTACCATGATCGATGTCCTCTGCTTTTAGGCGGTTTATTTCCAGCTGATCGAGCCCTAAGGCTACTAAAGAATGAGAAATTGTGTTCCATTTGTCTTCAAACTCGTCATTAGGAACACCGGTGGAAATACTATGACACAGGCTATTTCGCAAGCATTTAATCCGGACGATCTCGGCTTCACGACTGTGATCTGTTTCTGCTGGCATGTCGTGCCATCCTGTTGCAGGTTCAATCAAAGTGGGACAGATTTCACGAAGCAGTAAATGTAGAAGAGTGATATCAAATGTGTTTAAGTCTGGTGGGCCACCCGATGGAGGAAATAGCTTTTCCCACTGGCTATCATATAATTTACGTCTGCTCTTTAAGTTGGTGAGGGTCGCCATGTTGTTGTTTAACATAATTTGCAGTGTTGAAGGCGGATGTATGAAAGACTCTAAAACGTTCCTGAGCGCTTGTGTACCTCCATCAACTAGCAGTCGCGCTAACTTCGTACCGTTAGTTTTTTCCTCCGATGGCCCGAAGATGGACGCCATTTACTAGCAATGTTGAGGCAAGTAACGAGCGTAACTGTTGAAAACTTCTATGAAAGCGACCAGACACATCTAGGAATTCAAGAAATCTTATCCTTTATTATAATATCAAAACCTGCATGGCTTTGTTTTCAGAACCAATGAGAGGCAAGTATGTGGAAAAA